GTTCTCCTTATTCTCCTGGGTCCTTTGCCTTCTATATTTCTTCCATTCCCTAGCACACTTGGTTTTTGCCTCCCTGCACCTTTGGGTAAAACCATGGGCTCATCCTGGCTTTTTCATTACTCCTGTTACCCTTGGGTACAAACCTCTCCTCAGCCTCCTTGCATTTTATTGCTACATATTCCATCATCTCATTAACTGGTTTCCCTGCCAGTTCTCTGTCCACTGAACCCCGTTCAGGTAGTTCCTCATTCCTGTGTAGTCCCCTTTCTTGTAGTTTGGCTTCATTCGTCCTGGCCTTCCTGCTTCTCCCTCCACTTGTAGCTCTACTGTGTATTCGAAGCTTACAACCACATGGTCACTGGCCCCAAGGGGTCTTTCATATGTGATGTCCTCGATATCTGCACTACTGAAGGTGAATACTAAGTCCAGCCTTGCTGGTTCATCTCTCCTCTCTCTCTTGTAGTGTCCCTTACGTGTTGGTACATGAAGTTCTCCAGTACCACCTCCATCATCTTAGCCCTCCAAGTATCTTGGCCCCCATGTGGGTCCAAGTTCTCCCAATCTATCTCCTTGTGGTTAAAGTCACCCATGATCAGGAGCTTTGCCCTGCATGCATGAGCTCTTCTGGCCACTCTAGCTAGTGTGTCAACCATCGCTCTATTGCTCTCGTCGTACTCTTGCCTTGGCCTCCTGCTGTTCTGTGGTGGGTTATACATCACTGCTATTACCACCTTGGGACCTCCAGAGTGAAGTGTTCCCACTATGTAATCACTTTCTTCTCCGCTATCTTCTCTCTCCAGCTCATCAAAATTCCAGCGATTTTTTGATCAGCAACGCCACTCCTCCACCCCCCCTGTTCCCTCTGTCTTTCCTCAGGATTTGGTATCCCGTTGGAAAGATGGCATCTGTTATCATACCTGTAAGCTTGGTTTCTGTGAGAGCTATGATGTCCGGTGATGCTTCTTTGACTCTTTCTTGCCACTCCTCCCACTTATTTGTTATTCCATCAGCGTTTGTGTACCATACCTTCAGTTTCCTTTCCAACACTGTGGTTTGGGGGGCCTGTGAGGGTGGGAGACCTGGTGGCATACTGTGGGGTTCTATAGCTTGGTGTTGGGTGGAGGCTGTGGGTATGGATTGTAGGGTGTGTTGGGATGGTGTGATAGGTTGTATGGTTCTGAGAGTAGTTGTGTGTGTGCTTGCCCTTGCTGTTCTGTCCTGCTCTGACAGACCTCTGCTGGTTCCCTCCTTGTCTCTTTTCCTAGCTCCTTTCGCTTTTTTGTCCTCTCCCTCAGCTGCTGTCGTTCTGATTTTGTTCTGTCTCTGTCTAGGAACACCCTCTTGTACTCTTCCGAGTATTTCAATCGTGGTTTCTCTTGGAGGATCCTGTTCCGCACTGTTTCCGTCCTGAGAATCAGCTTGATTGGTCGGTTTCTCACCTTCGAGTACCCCCTATTTCTCTGAAATTTACAATCTCGTCCCTCTCTTCACCTATTTCTGTTATGATTTTCTCAATCTCCTTCCTTTCTTCCTGCTTCCTTTCAGTGTGTGTCCTTTCCTCTCTCTCCTGAAGCCCATGGATAAACACTGATTTTGCCCTTTCTTCCTCGCATTGCCTCACCCTCTGTGGCTCTGGATCCTGCCTGTATGTGGTCAGTTTCTCCCTTGATTTTTCCAGTGGCTCTTGATAGCCTTGTGTGTGCCTCAGCATTCGACCTATCACCCTCTCCATCTGCAACCAGTTGATCTTCCCTTTCACTCCTTGGTCCTCCTTGGCAGATTGATGTGACCTTAGCATAATTCATATTCCTTCCTTCCTGTTCAGCCTCGCAGCTTCATATGCTGTGTCTTCTCTGGTCACTGCCCCTGTAACTCGCTCCAGCCTATTTATCTCAACTTCTAGGACCCTTATCTTGGCTACTGCAGTTTCGACTTGTGCCTCCCAATTCTTTGTCTCCTTCTCCAACCACCTTTCCAATTTCACAGAGAGCTCTTTCTCCATTTTTTCAGAAAGCTCTCCTAATTTTCTCTCCCACTCTTGTTCCATCCTTTTCCACTGCTCCTCCATCCACTCCTCCCTACCCGAACCATTCTCATCTGATCCTTGGGTCCTGCGAGTGTGTGTGTGTGTGTGTGTGTGTGTGTGTGTGTGTGTGTGTGTGTGTGTGTGTGTGTGTGTGTGTGTGTGTGTGTGTGTGTCCCACTATCCCATGATCAACAGGTCCACTGGTCAATTTTAAACAGGTCTTACTAGCCTATTCATGTCTTTGTCTAACCTATTTTTAAAACTGGCCAAAGTGGTATTGATCTGTATAATGGTGTGACTTGTGGCAGCTGGTGTAGTCAGGCAGGTGACTATTGACTGGTGGCAGCTGGTGTAGTCAGGCAGGTGACTATTGACTGGTGGCAGCTGTTGTAGTCAGGTAGGTGACTACTGACTGGTGGCAGCTGGTGTAGTCAGGCAGGTGACTATTGACTGGTGGCAGCTGGTGTAGTCAGGCAGGTGACTATTGACTGGTGGCAGCTGTTGTAGTCAGGCAGGTGACTATTGACTGGTGGCAGCTGGTGTAGTCAGGCAGGTGACTACTGACTGGTGGCAGCTGGTGTAGTCAGGCAGGTGACTATTGACTGGTGGCAGCTGGTGTAGTCAGGCAGGTGGCTATGAACCGAGACATTCTTGATGAAATATTAAATGATACATTACTCGCTAGACCTGACTAATGGCTGCAACACTACCCAGCAGCCACGAGTCATGGTTCTTCAGACATTAACGTATATTGGTAAGAAACATGTGCAACAGTTAGGCATCTTTATTCCGAAACGTTTCGCCTATACAGCAGATACCTAACTGTCGTATGTGTATCTTAATTATCAACTTGTAGGTACTGTATAATAATAATAATAATAATAATAATAATAATAATCTTTATTTCTACCAGTACATGTACAAGGTATACAGACCATAGTTGACATCAATGACATACTACTATATACAAAGCCGCTTGTTATGCAGAGCATTTCGGGTAAATTAGGTCAATTTTGCCCCCAGGATGCGACCCACACAAGTCCACTAACACCAGGTACCTGTTTCACTGAAAACACACAGGTTACAGAACACCCTTTTTAATGGCAGAACGTTTCGCTCAGTGTAGTTTTATCATAACTTGATAAAACCCTACATGGAGAGAAACATGACGCGGTGAGGCCCAACACAGAGCGAAACACAGATTGGTAAAGCTCTACAAAGGGCGATACGTTGTTCCAACAAGAGGCTTGCCTTTCACATTATTAAATTTATGGGGGAAGCGCTTAACCTGCAAGGGCCACGCAGCGCCTTGAAGATAATCAGCTATGATCCAAGGAATCGGAGTGGCTCCAGTTTCTTGGATTCAGAGCCCTTCTCCAGTATCAAGGTCACCCTCCTTGATGGGTACCAACATGGCACTGTTCAAGAGGAACCTAATGGTGACGTTTCGGTCCGTCCTGGACCACTGAGGAAGACCGAAACGTCTTGAGGTTTCTCCCTTATATGTGGGTTTATGGTCAAATGTAACCACAGTATTGTGACTTTATTCGCAGTGCCTAAATATATGGATAATACGAAGGCAGTCTGAGCGAAACGTTGTTTAATTATAGGTTTGGTGTTCTCGGTAATAAAAAAAATAATGATTTATTAAGAAAGTTTTTAATTTTTGGATAGCTCATGGGTCGATTCACAGGAGCTGTGAATCGACCCCTGCAGCCATACATAGGTAAGTACAGTTGAGCTACGGAAGCCTTGTCTAACCCTTGCCAGTGAGTCAGTCTGCTGGTAAGAAACTCGTAAATATTTGCCTGTGCCTCTCACCTTCGCCTAGTGGCAGTAGTAACATTAGCCTCTGTAGTTCCTTACAGCTAAGTTTGCTGAACGTGGTAACAACCGCTGTCTGCATGACCGACTGACTGGTTGGTTGTCTGCATGACTGAGTGACTGGTTGGTTGTCTGCATGACTGACTGGTTGGTTGTCTGCATGACTCTCTGACTGGCTGGTTGGTTGTCTGCATGACTGAATGACTGGTTGGTTGTCTGCATGACTCTCTGACTGACTAGTTGGTTGTCTGCATGACTGAATGACTGGTTGGTTGTCTGCATGGGTCTCTGACTGACTGATTGGTTGTCTGCATAACTCTCTGACTGGTTGTCTGTTGGTTGTCTGCATGACTCTGGTTGGTTGTCTGCATGACTCTCTGACTGACTGGTTGGTTGTCTGCATGACTGAATGACTGGTTGGTTGTCTGCATGGGTCTCTGACTGACTGATTGGGTGTGTGCATGACTGACTGACTGGTTGGTTGTGTGCATGACTGACTGACTGGTTGGTTGTCTGCATGACTGACTGACTGGTTGGTTGACCTGACAGTGGGTAAGCATGGGTATCATTCATGTATGTTGAAAATAGTATAAAATACCGAGAACTTAATGATTAAGACACATGTACGACAGTTGGGTATCTTTACTGTGGATACGGATGGCCTACACAGTAGGCTTCTTCAGTCAAATACAGATTGAGCTGGTGTGGTAGTGAAATAAAGATGACGTAATCAGTCCATCAACCTTGGAGAAATAGCATTTGAGGTGGTCAGTCCCTCAGCCTGGAGAAGAGTTCAGTTTCATACACGCCATCACACTTTCCCCGTCTTGTGTTCCAAAATACGAACCAAAATAAAAATATCTCTGAGTACATTATCGTTTTGTCCTAAAAGATGAACTGGAATATACAATACAAGGTTAGTAAACCGAGTAATGTTAGAATTAGGTGAATGATTGTGATTACACGGCAGGACCCCAATGGAAATAAGTCACTGACTTTTTTGGGTTATCCTGGTTCTCTACACACATGCTGCTATGATAATATATGTAACTGTATTTGTGTATACCTGAATAAATTTACTTACTAGGAGGGAGAAGACAAGAGGACGAGGAGGAGGGAGGGGAGGTGAGAGAAGAGAGGGAGGGAAGGTGAGGGGAGAGAAGGGAGCAACAAGGTGTGAGAGATCAGTGTAACAACAAGTACTGTGGTGGGAGGGACTCGGGCCTCGCCTACAACACTCGCTAGTGCTTCTACGAACTTCATCACTGATGTAGCGTCAACACTGATGTAGTACGTCAACTATAATGAACATCCCTTTAGTATATTGCTAAGACAACAAGAATATATGCTCGTACTGTGCTACAAAACAGTGAAATACACACTACCTCAAAACTTGTATATACACCAAATAAATCTTCAGTAAGAAAAAACAAAACATAAATAAAGGGACATATTGTAAGTCAAGGAAGGAAAATAAAAGTTGTCAGGAAAATAAGCACAGGAAAACGTCCTGAAACAAAGACTAGCTGTTCTTGTGCATTATTTTTTTTACTTAATATCCTGGCTGTTTCTTAAGGAGGTAGTGTGACAGAAAAAAAGAAACTCATTTACCATCATTCATTCAATGGCTGTCTTGCCATAAGTGCACTGACAACACAGTTCTTATGACCCTCAGAAATGCAACATCCTGACCACTCTGTGTGCATTATATGTGTTTAAAACACCATTAGAAATCTTTGTGTTTAATCCTGAAGGCAACAGTTGTGTATCTGTGGCAGTTACAGTCTTCAATGTATAAAGAGGAAAGAGGAGGACAAACGTCACTTTTATACTCTGTTACACAAGATCTTGGTTAATAGGACTGTGGTACAACAGTGTGAAGGACTGTTAGAAGTGCGACGTTTCACCTGATATGAGAAACATCATATACCTGGAGAGGACGAACAGACTCAGTGCCACAACCTCTTGTTATGAAGAATGGTAACCGAAAATTAACATAAATATTTTTGTTTTATGGAATAACCTCTCCCCCCTCAGCAGGTACAATTTACCGCCACACACTGCAGAAACACGGACAATATGTGCCAGTGTTCCATACACGGGACTGGAGTTACTATTGCATTCCTAGAAGTATTAATATATTAATATGCATCTCCCTGGAAAAGTAAACACATAAGCAGTATAATGTGATCCTCTGTTGACAACGTTTCGCCCACACTACTTTATTAAGTCAAGATCTGTTTGTGACTTCATAAAATCCACTGTGTGGGCGAAACGTTGTCACTAAAGGATCACATTATACTACTTATGTGTTTACTTTTCCATTGTGTCGGTATTTTATACCATTTATTTCCATGTATCTCTCTATTTTAACAGGTCATCGGTGAGCCCGTGGGTCAGTAGCAGCAGCTACAGGCTCAGTTCTCCGTCTGTTGGTTGCCATACACGCTAAGTAGTACCTGTGCTCACATTACCACCAAACTCAACTAAGCAATAAATGAACGATATCGTTTGATGTAGCAAACAACATATATGAGGAAGATGGCGGCCATAATACTGCCTCTAATTCTCACCAGCTTCATGACCTCGTCACTAGGTGAGTCCGCTGTAGGTCTCTTGTGGTGTCTTGTTAGTTGAGAAAGAGGACAATCTCCTATGCTGTGGTGCCTACCAGTACAAGACTAAGACAGGAAACAATGGAAGATTTTAGTATAATTGCATCAACGTTGCGCTCATGGCTTGATCAAGTAAATATCCTGTTATTTGCTTGCAACACACAGACACAATTTGGAGATACATTTCCAGATGTTCGCTTGCTGACCCTTTTTGCTTCTGCGATGTTTGTGTCGGACTGTGTACAGTAAATATAACAGTAAGATTTAGTTGTGATTTTTAATCCCGGAGGGTTAGCCACCTCGGTGCGTCATCGAGGATTGTCTTATTTTCATTGGAGTCCTTCAATCTTGTTCCCCAGGATGCGACCCGCATCAGTCGACTAACACCCATGTACTTGCTTGCTTGCTTGCTAGGTGAACAGGGACAGATTGACTTGCCTGGCCATCTTAGACGGGACAGCTGGAGCATTTACAACCCCCCCTTCCCGGAAACCATTAATAAAGTGAGGGAGAGGCCCTTAGCTTCAAATTATAGACCAGTTAGCTTAACCTCAATTGTGGGAAAGTTGATGAAATCAACAATAGTGGATGCAATTCGAAGCCACATTGAAAGATATAATTTGATCAATGTATCTCAACACGATTTTTTTTTCCAAAGGAGTGTTCATGCCATACTAATTTACTAACCGTTCCCACGATATTGTGTATATGGACGTTAGTGAGTTCTTTGGTAGAAATTCACATAGGAAAGTAGCGGTACATTATATAGGTAGGGCAATTATCTCGTGGGTCGAGGCATAGCTGACAGACTAGTGTGCATTAATGGTGAAAAATCAGAAAGGAAAGCAGTTTTAAGTTGTGTCATAGGAATCACTGTTGGGATCTTTGTTGTTCACAGTTTACTTAGACGACACTGATGAGAGGAATGCATAGCGACATAGGTCAATATGCCGATAACATTAAAATAAGTCATCAGATCATTCCTGATGACACTAGGTTACGGGGTGACCTGGATGGGTTGATGTTGTGGTCAGAGAAGTGACAGATGTAGATAAATATATGGTTCGAATCCTAGAAAAAAGAAAAGAGCTATAGTACCGAAAAGTATGTCACCTCAGAACTACTTTATCAAGGCTGATGGATTGAAAGAAGCCTATTGACTAGGCAAAACGTTTCCGAAATAGAGATACTAACTTGCGCATGTGGCTTACTCATCTGTTTGTGTGTGTTGTATACCATGATTATAATGAAACTGAATGTGATAATTTAGGAGTTCTGGTTAACAGAAATGTAAAGCCAAGACAACATTATAAAAGTGTTGACAATAAAGCTAATACTTTTCTTGACTATATCAAAAAGTGTAAATAATAAAAGTTCTAAGGATATTCTTTAGATTTATGTATCTTCGGTAAGGTTTAATTTAGATTATGCTGCACAGTACTGGTCTCCATATTACAGAATGAACATAAATGAGCTGCAAAATATGTACAGAAGGATGACGTGTTTGTGTGTGTATGTGTGTGTGTGTGTGTGTGTGTGTGTGTGCGTGTGTGTGTACTCACCTAGTTGTACTCACCTAGTTGAGGTTGCGGGGGTCGAGTCCGAGCTCCTGGCCCCGCCTCTTCACTGATCGCTACTAGGTCACTCTCCCTGAGCCGTGAGCTTTATCGTACCTCTGCTTAAAGCTATGTATGGATCCTGCCTCCACTACATCGCTTCCCAAACTATTCCACTTACTGACTACTCTGTGGCTGAAGAAATACTTCCTAACATCCCTGTAAATTCATCTGTGTCTTTAGCTTCCAACTGTGTCCCCTTGTTACTGTGTCCAATCTCTGGAACATCCTGTTTTTGTCCACCTTGTCAATTCCTCTCCAGTATTTTGTATGTCGTTATCATGTCCCCCCTATCTCTCCTGTCCTCCAGTGTCGTCAGGTTGATTTCCCTTAACCTCTCCTCGTAGGACATACCTCTTAGCTCTGGGACTAGTCTTGTTGCAAACCTTTGCACTTTCTCTAGTTTCTTTACGTGCTTGGCTAGGTGTGGGTTCCAAACTGGTGCCGCATACTCCAATATGTGTGTGTGTGTGTGTGTGTGTGTGTGTGTGTGTGTGTGTGTGTGTGTGAAACACTTATTATAAACTGTGGAAATTAATGTCAGAAGAAGATTATTTTGTAATAATCATAATAGACACGTAGGACACATGAGAAAGGACATGCAGAAACACTTCGCAATAATGCTGTAAATATAACGTAGACGAGAAAGATAAGAAGAGTAATTATCAGTGTGTAAATTGCTGTACTGTACTTAGTGCGGGAGGGTGAGTGTCATGGTGGGATGGGAGGGTGAGTGTCATGGTGGGATGGGAGGGTGAGTGTCATGGTGGGATGGGAGGGTGAGTGTCATGGTGGGATGGGAGGGTGAGTGTCATGGTGGGATGGAGGGTGAGTGTCATGGTGGATGGGAGGGTGAGTGTCATGGTGGGATGGGAGGGTGTCATGGTGGGATGGGAGGGTGAGTGTCATGGTGGGATGGGAGGGTGTGTCATGGTGGGATGGGAGGGTGAGTGTCATGGTGGGATGGGAGGGTGAGTGTCATGGTGGGATGGGAGGGTGTCATGGTGGGATGGGAGAGTGTCATGGTGGGATGGGAGGGTGAGTGTCATGGTGGGATGGGAGGGTGAGTGTCATGGTGGGATGGGAGGGTGAGTGTCATGGTGGATGGGGGGGTGAGTGTTCATGGTGGGATGGGACGGAGTGTCATGGTTGGAGGGGAGGGTGAGTGTCATGGTGGGATGGGAGGGTGAGTGTCATGGTGGGATAGGAGGGTGTCAGTCTTGGTGGGATGGAAGGGTGAGTGTCAAGATGGGATGGGAGGGTGTCAGTCATGGTGGGATGGGAGGGGTGTCAGTCATGGTGGGATGGAAGGGTGTCAAGATGGGATGGGAGGGTGTCAGTCATGGTGGGATGGGAGGGTGTCAGTCATGGTGGGATGGAAGGGTGTCAAGATGGGATGGGAGGGTGTCAGTCATGGTGGGATGGGAGGGTGTCAGCCATGGTGGGATGGGACGGTGTCAGTCATGATGGGATGGGAGGGTGTCAGTCATGGTGGGATGGGAGGGTGTCAGCCATGGTGGGATGGGACGGTGTCAGTCGTGATGGGATGGGAGGGCGAGTCTCATATGGCAAGTAATCAGGTTTGATGCGGTGCAGGGAAGGGTGCCTTCCTTTCTCTGTTCAAGATCCCTACACCAGCACCAAGGATCTTTCTTGACAAGGAACATCCACTAGTTCGAACCTTTAAATGCAGTTCAGTGCCTCACAGGATACCCCCCCCCCCACCTCTTGCACAGAATGACTTCTGCAGAGATGATGAGGGGAGGGTGCCAAGTGAGGCAAAGAGGGGAGGTTGCAAAGTGGGGTAGAGAAGGGAGGGTGCCAACAGGAACACAAAAGATAATGCATATCTAAAACGATTACATATGCAGTAAAGTTTATATACGAGGGAAGGAGGCGAGGGAGAGCTGGGGAGATGTAAAGATAGTGAGACGTGTGTGTGAGAACACATACCTGGTGTGAGCAACACCTGGTGTGAGCAACGCCTGGTGTGAGCAACACACCTGGTGTGAACAACACACCTGGTGTGAACAACACACCTGGTGTGAGCAACGCCTGGTGTGAGCAACACACCTGGTGTGAGCAATACACCCTGGAGTGAGCAGTACACCAGTATCATTTTTATAGACTACTATTCTTCTAGGCTACAATGATTTTTTAGCGCATTTACGAAGTCTCCAAAAGAATAAATACTATGTGAGATAACAAGATAACTCTCAGCCATATTTACAGTCTCATTGACTGTGTCACACTTGGTGTTTAACTGGCATGTCACACAACACATTAACACTGTATGTCTTTCTTTGTAAATGATTTTCCTAGTCATATTTTTTTGCCAAATTTTGTTACTATAATGTTTTCACTGACAGCTCTAGCTGTGGGTCATCATATGACTGAGACCCGTCAGGACACATTTGTCATCCTGTTTCCTGACAAACCTAATACCTGCCTTCCTACTGACAGTGTTGAGCCAGTCCCAGGAGCTGGAGGCTTTACCGACGAGGGAGAATCATACGGAGTACATCCTGACGGCGGGGCAGCAGGGTGTGACAGCTTTACATCCTCTCCCCGCTCCTGCTGTAGCAGACACCGAGAAAGACGGTCTGAGACCCAAGTGCAGGCCAGGGGGCAACCTCATCTGCTACTCCTGTAAACTCGATTTCCGTAAAAGGCATTACGAGTGGGACCATCCCTGCCTGGGACGCCACAACAACCACAGGGTCAGCGATAACTACCTGGTTAACTGTGGTCCCAATGACACAATCTGTAGGGTGAGGACCTACCTTCCTTTCACTAGGTTTGAAGCCTATCCATCACATGCTTGTGGCTTTCTTTAGTGCCTAAATTCTTCATTACATGTAAGCTACATTTCCTGTATAATTCAGAAAAGAAATAAATTTATTATTATTATTATTATTATTATTATTAATAATATTATTATTATTATATTTAAAATTTTTATTATTATTATTATTATTATACCGCACATAAGAAAATGGAACTTAAGGCGACGGTAACTTGTGACTAGTTAATGGTACAAGTCGGACCGAAATGTCGTTATAAGTTACATTCTCCTGTGTGCAGGTTATTTGTGGATTGTCTGTATATTGTAATAGTGGTGACTACCAGCTTGTGCAGTGGGTCGTCTTCAGTGCTGGATTAATATTTAAATTTACACAGAAAAGTTTTATTATATAAACCACATAAATATATAATAATAATAATAATAATAATATACTACTACCACTACTAAAAATAATAATTTTAACGTCTCCTACAGAGGTTGGGTGAATTATAGGATGAAACACATTAACCATCATTCATGCAGTATCTGTCTTGCCAAACATTAGTATCATTATCATTATTATTATTAAAATTTATCTTCCTGCTCTAAGCTTGGGTATAACACAAATGTATGTGTGTGTTTGTACAGGTGGAGAGAACAGAAGTGAACGGGATACTAATTATGTTGAAGAGGGAGTGTACCAGCCTCTGTTACGACAGCTGCCGACCCAAGGGCTTCGGCATCAACTACGAGCTGTGTGAGACCTGCTGTGAGAGTGACGCCTGTAATTATAACTATCCAATCAGCCAAGCTCCAGCTCCAGGTCCGTCGTCTTCCTGCGTGGCGGCCATCATGACGGGCTGGTGGGCCGTGGTAAACACGATTATCTGGACTTAGGGATTTTAGTGTCCACGGCACCGACCATATTTTTTAAAAGGGGTTGATATTGTCTTAATTCTCTATTTTGGTGGAGAAGAGGTTATATTTACACACGGCTCAGATGAATGATATGTAGAATATCTGGGTGCTTTATTACTGGAGCTTTGGTCGATATGGTAGGCTATCAGGAATGTTTTCACACACATACACACAAAAGGATGGATAGAGGGGGGGGGACATGATAACGACATATAAAATACTGAGAGGTATTGACAAGGTACATAGGGACAGAATGTTGCAGAGATGGGACACAGCAACAAGGGGTCACAAATAGGAGTTGAAAACTCACAGGAGTCACAGGGATGTTAGGAAGCATTTCTTCAGTCAGAGTTGTCAGGAAGTGGAACAATCTGGAGAGTGATGTAGTGGAGGCAGGATCCATACATAGCTTTAAGAAGAGGTATGATGAAGCTCATAGAGCAGGGAGAGAATGGGCCTAGTAGCGACCAGCGACGAGACGGGGCCAGGAGCTGTGAATCGACCCCTGCAACCACAAAAAGGTGAGTACACACATACACAGCATAATTACACCGGTTCAAATATCGCGTATCGCTTAAAAATCCAAATTGTTAATGTTAAAAGTGCCAAGGCCCCTGCAGCTACCTTGTTAATTATATGAACCAGGGCTTAAATGGGAAGACACAGGAGGGGAGGAAAATATTGAAAATAACCTCGACACTCACAAGTTACACAGAGGGGCAGGGGTACCCAGTAGGTGAGTGTGTAGGGGAAGTGAATGTACTTATACTCTGAGAGGGACAGGAGTACCCAGTAGGTGAGTGTGTAGGGGAAGTGAATGTACTTATACTCTGAGAGGGACAGGGGTACCCAGTAGGTGAGTGTGTAGGGGAAGTGAATGTACTTATACTCTGAGAGGGACAGGGGTACCCAATAGGTGAGTCTATTCATATACCCACAAAGGGGCACGAGCACCCAGTGGGTGGCTGTGAGAGAGGTGGGTACAGTCACATGTACTGTATACAGAAAATCGCTTCAAGATTCTAGTATCAAGTGAAGGATGAACTAGAACATCCTGCTGAAGCGTGTGTAACTTGCTGTCAACCATAGAAAGTATTGGTAGACGGTTGTCGTTGTCCTTAAATTTGACATTAATTCCTATTTTAGGAATTAAATTATTTTTGATTAGTGGTGTATATGTGAAATATAACCTTAATACCACTCGGGCAGCCGACAGCCATTGTCATTCTAATTCTATAAATCTTTCAGGGGCTAAAAATACTCACGGAACGGGTGGAGTTTGAACTTATGGAGAATGTTAAAACGGACAGGGTAACGTACAAGGTATACAAGCCTAGCAGACATCAGTGACGTACTAGTATATAGAAAGCCCCTTTATGGAAGTTTTTACATAATTTCCTAAATGTAGAACATATAAATGAATAATACAATAATTGTGTAATAAAATATGATGCTGTTTGAACCCTTCGAGAAATTTCGAGTGGGGGGGGGGGGTAGAACAGCCAGTAGGGACGCCATGTTTGATGTAGTGTGAACACTGGTCGGAATTTTGCACCAGGAATTCGGCATTTTCCGAGGCCTAATGGGGGTGTATCGGTCCTCAATTCGTAATTTAGAAATTGCTGATACGTTCCTGCTGAAGAATTGGGAGGAAATTTGCGGGAACGCAAGAATTACGTCACTCCAGGGAGTGCACCTAGCTGGCCAGGGATCCTGATGTTAAATAGGTGCTGTGGTGTGATCTATTAACATTGTCTTCCAGCAATTCAAAGGTGAGTAGTAATACAAAGTTCTTTTCTAATAACACCATTGGATTATATGTATCGTATTAATATTTTGTGGAACCAGCAAACAAGCCTAATACTATCCAGTCCACCTGTTTACCTGGAGAGGGGTTTTTGGGGGTCAACGCCCCCGCGGCTCGGTCTGAGACCAGGCCTCGTGGTGGATCAGGGTCTGTTCAACCAGGTTGTTTCTGCTGGCCGCACGCAGGCTGACGTACGAACCACAGCCCGGTTGGTCAGGTACTGACTTGGGGTGCCTGTCCAGTGCCTTCTTGAAGACACCTAATTGTAATTTTACCAGAGTAGCTGGTTTTATTATGATTATTAACTTAATGTTAGGTCTAGCTTTTTGTGAAAGTAGTGAGGAAGTGGGCAATTGGAGGGGTTGCAGTTCGGTGACCTACTGTGACTTAAGTCTCACTTACCTCACCCAAGTTACTTGCAGGTAATAATTCAGGTAATGCTCTGTAAGCCTCCTGCAGGTGATTTGCTCAAATAATAAATTTTCACACCCCTTGTTATGCAGAGCTTTTCGGGCAAATTAGGTCAATTTTGTCCCAGGATGCGACCCACACCAGTCCACTAACACCCAGGTACCTATTTTACTGATAGGTGAAGATTATTATTATTATTATTATTATTATTATTATTATAATCAAGAGGGAAGCGCTAAACCCGTAAGATTAACAGCGCCTGGGGGGATGTGGAAGGCATTCAGGCTTAATTCGGGGAACTGGAGCACAGGTTCAATTCCCTAAATCAAGAGCCCCTCACCAACATCAGGAAACCTTCCCTGAGGGGTGATAGGTGAAGAGGGACCGCAGGTATCTTAAGGAAACACGTCCTAATGTTTCCACCCGTACCGGGGATCGACCCCAGGACCTCAGTGTGAGAGCTGAGTGCTCTAGCAATCAAGCTACGGGACACCCATGTTTCAAACCCCACCCGTTCCGTGATTTGTTTGTCATCGCGTTATTACTGTTTCAGGAGTTCTTGAGGCTCCTGGATTTCCTTAAGGTACTGCTACCATCCATTTCTGTCGTCTCGAGAGAAGTTAAAGTTTAACATCTTTGTTATTCACTCCATACCCATGGATGTCTCTTCCCCATTCCTTAAAATATCTACACTTGGGCTGTAACAAATCTGTTCCCAAGGTTACTATGTTACATATGTTGTCAGAACTGCAGGTGTTCAGCACACAACACTGAGTGTTCGTATCACATGCAACAGCACAAGTTCATACCACCAAGCTTAGTGTGTCATATACTGGTGTTGTCAGTCATACATTCCCCGGGTGTTTGTACCACCATGCACTCCAAATCCTTGCCACTATTTTGTGTCATAAGTATTCCCAGTCAAACATCCCCCAGAAATGTTTTGGTATGCTGTCTTGATGTGTCTTGACGTGCCTTCATGTCTTGACGTGCCTTCATGTGTCTTGACGTACCTTCATGTCTTCACGTGCCTTGTTGTGTCCTATCGCGCCACTCAGCAGTTGTAAATAAAGTCAGTTATCGTTTTTACTAATAGCAATTTTCTCGCAGACAAACGCTAGTGGTGGCACATAAATGACATTGGATCATACTTTTTCAGCGCGAGAAGTTATATCATAGTTTACCCTTCGGTCATCTCCTTGGTTTTCTTTGAATGAAATACAATGGCAAATCATCTTTGCATTACCTGGAGTTCATTACCTTTCAAATTCAAAGTTTATTCTCTATAAGATTACAATGCTGAGTTTACAGAATTTGGTTATTGTGTGGTTTACATGTAGTAAAATAATAATTACAGAGTGTACCACTAGAACACCTAGCATGGCTAGGCATTTCGGGCAGACTTAGATTAATTCTTAAATTTAAAATATTACAAATTATGAGGTAAGTTGGTATTATGGCTAAGTGACTAAATACTAGTTTGTGAGTTTAGCAATGTGAATGCTTTTGTTTTGGCACAGTACATAGTTTCAGTATTGGAGTATCACAGGCCAACTTATGACTAGTTAGGATTCATTATTTTAAGATTGAGATTGATATTTGTTTATGGTCAAATGGGTGAGTGAGTATAAGTGTGAACCACCAGGTGGTATTCGTGTAGTTAGTTGACGGGGTGTATCAGGGAGATAAGATGTAACTTGTTCAGCTATCAAAACTTTGGGGCCCAGTCCCTGGTCACATTATGTACCGCTGTAATCCTTTGACTACCGCCCACAGGATAGGTATGAGATGCATAATGAAGATATTAAGCTTATAGCTAGAACTGAAGCTCAGATATCGAATACCATAGAAATGTATTCTGTTATATATAGCATTTTACGTGAGGTGCATTTGGCAGATTCTAGGAGAAGATTCTAAGATGATTTTGACCAAAAACGTATTAAGTTCAAGTACCCCAATGGAAATAAGTCACTGACTTTTTTTGCTTTATTCTAGGTTCCTCCACATATGCTGCTATGTATATTATATGTAACTGTGTATACCTGAATAAGCTTAAGTTTGAGACTAATGGCTTGTTACTGGAACCTTGTTCTGGCAGTCAAGAGTTTCATCAAAGTTCCTATCTGATTTGTAACTTTCTTGTCACGAATAGTAAGCATCGTGTCCCCATGTTATTTCCCTGAAATGTTCAAGTTTCTTCTGGAATGGCCTAGTTATTGCCTCGATATGTTCTGTTATTCCCTTGAGATGTTCTCGTTTTTTCCTGTAAATGTTCTGGTGTTCAATCAATAAATCAGTCTACATATATAAACTGCAGATCATATTTCGATTATAATTACCAGTGTGTGTCACCTGAACTTAAACTGTCGTCAGTGTTGCCATTCAATATATATATATTATCTTATATATATATATATATATGTGATAATTATAGTATAATCTATTATGTTTTAATGCCGTGTTTCTGTACAATATAAAGTGAATTACAACGAAGACCTGAATTTCAGTTTTCTCCTCCATTCTTTAAGTGATCCTTTATGATAATGATTCGTGGCTCTGTGATAGAGCCTACGGGTCACAACCAAGGTGCCCGGGTCGATCCGCCGGGAGAAAGATGCATGGACCAAGCCATTGTAGCAGCAAACATGTATCTTGAGCTAAAAGTAGACTGTTGTGGGTGGAATTTGGTAGCAACAGGCGTATGGAAACATGCCCAGTGTCTCTACCTGCCCCTGGATCGAGCCTGGGTCTGTGTTGTGAGACCAAGGTGGCTTCCTGGACCTGGGTCTGTAGTGTGAGACCAAGGTGGCTTCCTGGACCTGGGTCTGTGGTGTGAGATCAAGGTGGCTTCCTGGACCTGGGTCTGTGTGGTGTGAGATCAAGGTGGCTTCCTGGACCTGGGTCTGTGTGGTGTGAGATCAAGGTGGCTTCCTGGACCTGGGTCTGTGGTGTCAGACCAAGGTGGCATCCTGGGTCTGTGTTGTCAGACCAAGGTGACATCCTGGGTCTGTGTTGTCAGACCAAGGTGGCATCTTGGGTCTGTGTTGTCAAACCAAGGTGACATCCTGGGTCTGTGTTGTCAGACCAAGGTGGCATCTTGGGTCTGTGTTGTCAGACCAAGGTGGCATCCTGGGTCTGTGTTGTCAGACCAAGGTGGCATCCTTGGGTCTGTGTTGTCAGACCAAGGTGGACATCCTGGGTCTGTGTTGTCAGACCAAGGTGGCATCTTGGGTCTGTGTTGTCAAACCAAGGTGGCATCCTGGGTCTGTGTTGTCAGACCAAGGTGGCATCCTGGGTCTGTGTTGTCAGACCAAGGTGCATCCTGGGTCTGTGTTTTCAGACCAAGGTGGCATCCTGGGTCTGTGTTGTCAGACCAAGGTGACATCCTGGGTCTGTGTTGTCAGACCAAGGTGGCATCTTGGGTCTGTGTGTGTCAGACCAAGGGTGGCATCCTGGGTCGTGTTGTCAGACCAAGGTGGCATCCTGGGTCTGTGTTGTCAGACCAAGGTGACATCTGGGTCTGTGTTGTCAGACCAAGGTGGCATCCTTGGGTCTGTGTTGTCAACCAAGGTGACATCCTGGGTCTGTGTTGTCAGACCAAGGTGGCATCCTGGGTCTGTGTTGTCAGACCAAGGTGACATCCTGGGTCTGTGTTTTCAGACCAAGGTGGCATCTTGGGTCTGTGTTTTCAGACCAAGGTGGCATCTTGGGTCTGTGTTGTCAGACCAAGGTGGCATCCTGGGTCTGTGTTGTCAGACCAAGGTGGCATCCTGGGTCTGTGTTGTCAGACCAAGGTGGCATCCTGGGTCTGTGTTGTCAGACCAAGGTGGCATCCTGGGTCTGTGTTGTCAGACCAAGGTGACATCCTGGGTCTGTGTTGTCAGACCAAGGTGGCATCCTGGCAACATTGAGCAACGAGCCACAGATGTAATGTTTAAGAATATTTGTTGAAGGAATATAAAACAATGAAAACAAAGATGATTTAAAGACACTACAATGATAACTTTAAGACATTACAATGATGATATAAGACACTACAATGATAACTTAAGATATTACAATTATGTCTCGCCACCATACTACACTATACTGCTTACCTACACAATACAACTATACATCATACAAAGTTTTACAAAGTAGCACCGTATGAGGTGGTGTCTGCCTTGCACTCTCCGCACGGAGGATCGAGCCTCAACCACTCCTTGCGCTGAAACACTCACATGGGTTTAGCGCTTTACCATGTGTGTATATAATAAATATATATATTTTATATATATATATATATATATATATATATAATATATATATATATATATTATTAATAATATATATATATATATATATATATATATATATATATATACATACATACATATATACATGTATATATAAATTAATGCCCCTTAAAATTCACTAAATTAACGTCAACAAATGCAATGGTTGTAGGTCTAATGAGTTGCGTCAGTCACGTGATGGCACCACACACGTGGGTTGGCTTTGCAAACCTGGCTTAGGTCTGGCTTAGCTCCAGTATCTTCTGTCTTAATTAAGTTACTGCTTCAATATTATTTACCTGAAGGGGTGTGTGTGTTTATAAACTACATATTCAATGCATTAGCACAAATACTGTATAACATAAGTAAAGAGTAATAAAGATTACACAATCAGAGTTGTCCTAGAACACAGCAGGACACCAGTCATATTTCTCGCGTTATGTGAACTACTTAAATCCTAAAGCATAAATTTCCTCTCACTTTTATTTTTTATTATTGCCTATGTGTCGTACGTGATTAAGCTAGTTTTCAAGCTGTGTTGGGCCCTCTTTAGTAGCGCCAGCTTACTTTACATCACTCAAGTAGGAATGATTGGTTTCCCCAGCGGGTGTTTTGGATTGTTCATGAATGGCATACAATATAGACAAGATGAATAATTAAGACATGTGCAACATCTAGGTATGTTTATTTGTAGATGTTTCGCCATCCAGTGGCTTTATCAATACAAGGTCCTCAAGACTACTGTGCTCTTCACCAACTCCAAGGCTGACGGACTGATTACCTCAACTTTTTTATATAAATCTACAGTCTTCACGTTATGTCCTTGTATTGATAAAGCACTGGATGGCGAAACATATACAAATAAAGATGTTGCACATATATCTAATTCTTTATGTTTTGGGTTACTCATGACATTTAACCCTGCAAAGCAATATCTTAGATCCAGATGTGGTCGTGTAGACGACAGTGAAGATGCAAAGGAAACATTCATTTGGACAGTGTTTCGCACTAAGCCGAATGAAGCTCCACACAGAACGAAACGTTTCCCCAACAAAACTTATTCTGCACCGCTTGTCTCTTCAAAACAATGTGTTATGATCAAATCTCACAACCAGCCAAGTACACAGTCCACAACACGTCCACAACACACCTACAACACCCTGCCAGGAAACAAGCCTCTGTGTACAAATGGGGTGTAACAAATAACTCCAGATCATCTGAAAAAAACAATCGTGCCTTATGAGACTATCTTCTTTCCTGATGAACAATTAACATCTACAGACAGTGAGGAGGCAAAGTTAATCTCTGATGCTTTACCGCCGCTAACTCGGCCTGCGACAACCTGTGGGTAAACAGTTTTAATTAGTTATTGTATACCTCAATTATTTTGGGGAGAAATGAAACGAGCAGTGATTATATTAGCAAAAAAATAAGGAAAGCAAGTGTTAGTTACGGCTATAGAATGTAATATATTGACTATAAAAATGGTAAAATAAAGGAATAACCTAAGTCTAACCATTTTAATAATATTAAGAACTGTATTTCGTCAATATATCAAGTTGATTTCAGCAAATGAAGGCTGTACGAGTTACACACATAATGTAGAACAGTGTAAATACTTTAACAGTAGCAGGTGACAAAAGAAATAGGAAAATAAGAAAGGAAATAGTGTGTGCGTTTTGGAAACAATCAAGTTAGAAAAATATAGGAACCCCTGTGAGACTTACTGCAGACGGAACACTTGGCCTCGTCTGTGTTGTCACCGCAGCCGTCCGTCCCCGAGCACAGTATGGCCGTCGAACGACACCGTCCATTGCCACACCTGCAGAAGTGTCCTGATACAGTATGTGAACAAGACTTCGTGTGGTCTCGAACCCGGGTCCTCCAGGACTCGAACAAGGCTCAAGTTCGGGTCCAATAAGGCACAAACCCGGGTTCGTCAAGCGGAAACGCCATACTTGCTTGAAGAATGAGACACTTGTCTCATTCTTCAACTTGTCGTCGTTTTTTTTTAAATGAGTTACATCACCCTACTTTTTTACACAAGTCAAGACATTGACGACAGCGAAATCTCAACTTTTTGGAGTGGACTCTGATCATTTCGAACTGTTGGAAGGATTTACGGCGCTAGAACCTTAACGTATCCTTAATATCAGAAAATGAAGGGGAGGATGGGTGTTAATGAGGCAGGGGAGGCGTGGATAGACAGGTAAGAATGTAACATCTCTCAGACTACTTATGACACTAGACTCTGAGGCTACAAAAAACTCGTGATAGCGTTTTAGAGACTGATAACAATGAGACCTACCAGTCGAGTTAGCAACCATGATAGATGTTTAGATACTGTGAAAGATCCAGGTCCTGTCTGAAGGGGCTCGGCAGATGGCTGCCTCAGCTTGTAGTACTGTAACTACAATACTTAAAGTGGGGATAATGGCAGTGGCTCTAGACGCTGTGAGAGTCCCAAAAAACACCTAAGTATTACGAAGATCGGTAACAACCTTCTGGAGACTGTAGTGGCATCAAGAAGTACGTGTAGGGGCAGCAGAATATAACCACGACCCAAAACACAAGTAACCCGCACATAGAACAAACTTTATGACGACGTTTCGGTTCGATTTGACATATACTAGTCACAGTGTGACATGGTCCTAGACGGACCGAAACGTCGTCATAAAGTTCCTTTCTCTTATGTGCGGGTTATCTGTGTATTGTTCCAGTCACGGGATAGTGACAGCCCCGAGGATCTATCTGAATAGGCATACGGGTTGACTAAAATAACCATGATGCAGGGACCTACCTGAAGGGGCAGTAAGGAGCAGTAATAGACCCCTGGATGCAGGCGGCCTCATCCTCGTCGCTGCTGTCGTTGCAAGTGGCCTTAGCGTTGCAGAAGACGAACCCTGGAAGGCACCGGCCGTCGCCACACCGGAACGTCGTCTTCGGACACGCTGTTTATATAGGACGAGTGTGAATAAACATAAGCATAATAATAATAATAATAATAATAATAATAATAATAATAATAATAATCTTCACTTCTACAAGTATATGTACAACTTATATAGACCATAGCTGACATCAATGACATACTACTATATAAAAAGCCGCTTGTTATGCAGAGCATTTCAGGCAAATTGGTCAATTTTGCCCCCAGGATGCGACCCACACCAGTTGACTAACACCCAGGTACCTATTTTACTGCTAGGTGAACAGGGACAGCAGATATCTTAAGGAAACACGTCTTAATGTTTCCACCCGAACCGAGGATCGAACCACGGACCTCAATGTGTAAGCTGAAATTTTTCAGAAAACCGATAAGTTGATAAATGAGACGTTTGTGTAACGTTTGGGTATTTATTTGGGTAGCCGCTGCTCAAATGTCTCATTTATCAAGACGAGAGAGGAATACAAGAGCGTCTGGTGGGACTCAGTAACCTTGTGGCATCTAATAATCTTATTGGGATTCATTAATCATTTTATGACATAATTTTTAACTTACGAGGTATTGTAGGAAATAGTTATGGATATAAAACCCTTAACGGATTAGTTGTGAATAATTCCTACCATGGTGTTGTGGATTAGCTGTGAATGGTTGTTGACACAGTGTTGTGGGTAGTTGTGAATGGTTGTTGACACAGTATTGTGGGTAGTTGTGAATGGTTGTTGACACAGTATTGTGGGTAGTTGTGAATGGTTGCAGCCACGGTATTGTGGGTAGTTGTTGACACAGTATTGTGGGTAGTTGTGAATGGTTGCAGCCACGGTATTGTGGGTTAGTGGCACCAGACCAGTGTACTGAAAATGTTAAATTAGTGTGTACGAGAGTCGCTGAGCACACTGTTCAAGCATGAGACGTTTTGTGAATTTATTTGAACAGTGTGAGGTTATTTGCCTCCTGGAATGTAAAATATATCAACTAAATGACAAGAATTCATCATAATAGTGAACAATATAAGAGGACTCAGATGAAGAAAGGCACAAGACGACAATGGTCAACTGTGGTAAAGAACTGAAATATTACAAAACAAAAAAAAAACATAAACCGTAGCTTAACACATCAATTTGAAGACTTTACTGCTAATACTATAACGACTACCATTACTGCTATTATTACTACTACTATCACGACTACTATTACTACTACTATCACGACTACTATTACTACTACTATCACGACTACTATTACTACTACTAACAACACAGGTAGGGGGGACTTACTTCCGTTGCATGAGGCCTCATCTGAAGCATCAGGACAGTGAGGTTTACCATCACACAGGTGTGCACGAGAGATGCAAGTGCCATCGTTGCAGGTGTGTGCCAAGGTGGGGCACCTGTGTGGCACACACATGGCTTCGTCAGACCCGTCCTCGCAGTCACCTACCCCGTTGCACACGAAGTACCAGCTTATGCAACGCCCCGACGACGCACACTGCAACATTGCACAGGGAATGACAGTCGCACTTACCGTTGGCTGCAACAAACAGCAACAGACCCAAAAATCGGTCATGGAAACTGGGAGACCTTTCGATCAGTCCTGGACTCGTTTCGGTCCACAACGTACCAAAATGTAGTCCAGTTCAAATGAATAGTTTAAGGGTTTGTTGTGGCTCGTAGGCGGGAGGAGAATATGTACTAGTAACTGGTTTGTTTACCAACTGGACCGTCCACCTACCACTCGTCTCTTTCTTTCTCTCTCATTATAGATACAATACTCTCTGAAGACATATTTCTTTACATAGAGACGTGATGAGTTCTTGTTTGGGTGGTTCCAGCCATGGTATTGTGTCTTAGTTGTAAATGGTTCCAGACACGATATTATGGTTTAGTTGTGAATGGTTTAATACACGGTATAGTGCTTTAGTTGTAAATGGTTCTAGACACGGGTATTGTGGTTTAGTTGTGAATGGTATAATCCACGGTATTGTGGTTTAGTTGTAAATGGTTCCAGACACGGTATTGTGGTTTAGTTATAAATGGTTCCAGACAAGGTAATGTGGTTTAATTGTGAATGCTTCGGTCCACGGTGCTGTGGTTTAGTGGTAAATGCCTGCAGTCACCGTACTGGGACTTGCAAACTTGTGTTTCACTGTGATGTGTTTACCTGGAAAGTTTCCTTGTGGCATCCGGTGTTGTCAGCGGAGCACTGTGGACTGTGAAGGAGGCAGTGACACACTCCAGCAATGCAGGTGGTGTAGGGATCCGAGGCTCGACACTGCTGTGAACTCTCACACCGCTGACCCAGGGAGGCAGGGGTCACACCAGCGTCTGTTGGAGAGGTCATTATGATAAGTATTCATGAGGTCACTCATCACTGAATGACAAGAGGTCATGATGTTAAGAGGGAAGAAGCGGGGCGTTGTGGTGAACTCAACAAGTCATGAACTGGTACCTGGAGGCTGTTCCGGGGTCAACGCCACCGCGGCCCGGTCCATGACTAGGCCTCGTGGTGGATCAGGGCCTGATCAATCAGGCTGTTACTGCTGGCCGCACGCAAACCGACGTACGAACCACAGCCGTCTGGTCAGGTACTGACCTGTCCAACTTCCTCTTCAAGACAGCCAAGGGTCTATTGGTAATCCCCTAATGTATGCTGGGAGGAGGTACCAAATAAGTTTTTTTTTTTTTTTAGGTAGAAATGCACATAAGTACCAGTATTATACATAGTAACATATGCGTAAATTACCCAGGATAACCCCAAAAGGTCATACAAAGTTACTTATCTGTTAGAGAGAGAGATGGTGTATAGCTGTCGGGCATTTTGTGTATCTGTTATTTGTGTCTTCCTCTGTTAATGGTTCCACTTATTAACGGAATAAAAAGTGAAATATATACAAACATTTGTAAGATTATCTACCATCCGAGGCCGGGGGGGGGGGCGTTGACTCCCGAAACCCCCTCCAGGTATACCTCCAGGTATCTTAAGTTCCACACTCAGTTAAAAAGTAAAGATAATATGTATTAGAGAGGATAGCAGTAAGTGAAAGAATGTTAGGGCATCGTCAGAGGTCAACAAGGAACGTTCACCTGCTTTCTCATTCAGCGAACACTATCAAAACAAACTGGACCGTCACCTGACTCTTCTCGCAGGTAGGTGCGTTCAACACAGTACCGTTTCCCTCAACCCACAGCGAGGAGAGGGGAATCGCCAGAAGGCCAATTGTGGTCTACTGAAAATACTTTACTGATCATTAACTCTGACCAACGACGCTGCGTGGGGGAGGAGGAGGAGATTCTCATTTAGGAGGGGGGGATGAAGGGGAATGAAGAACGTGGAATGTAAGAACACAACCTGTTCCCCAAGTTTGGATATAGTGGGTTCTTAGTGCTAGCGGTACTTTGAAGAATGTATGGGCTTCGAGCAGCAGTATCTTCAGGTAAAAGGACTCGAGAAAGTCAGGAAAGAAATACAACTTCTTAAGAGAGGAGAACAAGAAGATTCATCCCCGAAGTATTGAAGGAAATTACCTGAGGTATCGAAGGAAAGTTTTGGGTAGCTTTGGTTCAAGCTTAGACAAATAAATGAGTGGGAATTGTTGGTGAGGGATCCGTCATGTGTGGCATTTGGTTACCTGGAGTTTACCTGGAGAGAGTTCCGGGGGTCAACGCCCCCGCGGCCCGGTCTGTGACCAGGCCTCCTGGTGGATCAGAGCCTGATCAACCAGGCTGTTACTGCTGGCTGCACGCAAACCAACGTACGAGCCACAGCCCGGCTGATCAGGAACCGACTTTAGGTGCTTGTCCAGTGCCAGCTTGAAGACTGCCAGGGGTCTGTTGGCAATCCCCCTTATGTATGCTGGGAGGCAGTTGAACAGTCTCGGGCCCCTGACACTTATTGTATGGTCTCTTAACGTGCTAGTAACACCCCTGCTTTTCATTGGGGGGATGTTGCATCGTCTGCCAAGTCTTTTGCTTTCGTAGTGAGTGATTTTCGTGTGCAAGTTCGGTACTAGTCCCTCTAGGATTTTCCAGGTGTATATAATCATGTATCTCTCCCGCCTGCGTTCCAGGGAATACAGGTTCAGGAACCTCAAGCGCTCCCAGTAATTGAGGTGTTTTATCTCCGTTATGCGCGCCGTGAAGGTTCTCTGTACATTTTCTAGGTCAGCAATTTCACATGCCTTGAAAGGTGCTGTTAGTGTGCAGCAATATTCCAGCCTAGATAGAACAAGTGACCTGAAGAGTGTCATCATGGGCTTGGCCTCCCTCGTTTTGAAGGTTCTTATTAAGGAGGGATGTTGGTAAGCAGCAGTTGTCCAGAGCAAGTGGTGTTAGTTGTACATATACAGAATACAATACCGACATGATGAAGTATTGCACATATACAACATCTGGGTATCTTTACTGCAGACGTTTCGCCATCTAGTGGCTTTACCAATACAAATTCAAGGAGATAATTGGAAGACAGTAGAACTATATATGAAAGCTGAGGTAATCAGTCCCTCAGTCTTGGAGCTGGTGAAGAGCACCGTAGTACTAAAAACGGAGAACAAATATTGCTAACTGCTGGCTGGACAAGTACAGTACTCGAAAAACACTGCACTAATATTTACTGATAAATGTCACTGCATCTGTGGCAGACATGATATTATGCCAGGGATGAGGTGCGTCCATCTAGGTCAGGAGCGGCGGTGATGAATAGTCTGGTAAGAGAGACTGTTGTCCCTCCAGTCTTATTTTTTACATAATATGCTTTAGTTGTAGGTCTATCTGGAGGCTACCTGGAGGACATTCTATATCAAAGTAACCTCAAGAACTAGTCTACAAATGTACGCTACTGTCTGCAAAATGTGTAAATTTCTTAAACTTAAAGAACAAAAATAAACAATACCGTGACTGGGACAATACACAGATAACCCGCACATATGAGAGAAGCTTATGACGACGTTTCGGTCCGACTCTGACCACTTACAAAGTCACACTGACACAGGATGGTGAGAGGCAGTATATATGGAGGGAGAGGAGCGGGACAAAGACACGACAAAGAATGAAGTGGAGAAGTAGTGGTTATTTGTGTATTGTTAAACATACTTTTTATAATCATTGTTTATAATGTTATATCTTCACTTCTTGTATCATATTAATGCGTCCGCAAACAAGTGACTTTTAAGCAATTAACAAACTGTGACTGGCCGGGGATCGAACCCGTCAACTTCGTGGGTAGCCTGGTGGCTCTAACCACAGTCCTGTAGGACTGATGGCTCAGTGGTTAGATCGTCGTGGATTTTGACTTGCTTCCCACAAGGCGGGCTAAAATAATACGGGTTCGATCCCCGTTCAATCACACTTTAACTGCTTATTTTAGCATATCGACAAATCTCACCTTTAAGGACGGGGATGCATCTGGTGCCACTGTCAGCATGCAGGTGTCCTGGGGGACACGCACAGACAGCGAGTGGCACTCCCAGAGGCCTGGGAGCCACCCCTGAGATGGCGGTGATGCTGTTGGCACTGAGGTCTGTGAAGAGTGGCACCCTGGCCGAGCGCTGGATGACACAGATAGAGCCAGGTACGTGAGTGCTACACTGGGCACTGGTGCCACAAGGTGAACCCAGGGCTGTTGAGATCAACACCCAAGATTATTTGTTTTATTTGGTACGTTTGATCCAAAGAAAGGAAATGTCCAATTCCTTGGATCAAGAGCTCTCTCACCGGCGTAAGAAGACACATAACTGAATAAAAAATACAATAACGTACATAAAACTGTTTATTGCCGCATTATTTTTGTAAATAAGGATGATCATGGTAGTAGAACTAAAGGAAGAATAACAACAAGAGAAGGAAGAGGAGAATGATAGAACAATTAATAAAACTAAAGGAAGAACAAGAACAACTGAAGGGAGAACAAGATGCTGGAAAAACAGCTAGTAGAACTAGATGACGAAAAAAAGATCAAGAGAAAGGAGAGGAGGAGGATACTAGAAGAACAGCTGTCGGGAGAACAAGAAAAATAACAATTCGACTGACAGGAGGGGGTAACAGAACATTGCTTCGTGAACAACTGGAGGAAAACAGGGTTAGCAAAACAGCTGCGTGCAGAAGTCTTGAAGAACAGACCTTGTTAGAACAGGAGTCTGAAGAACACCCGCCTAAGGTTAACTCACTGTATCCGACAGTGCCACTCACTGTATCTGAGAGTGCCACAGGTGTTGCCATTCCTGGGGGCGTCACTGGAGCACTGGCACCTCCCGTACACCCGTGGCACCGTGAAGTTGCAGAAGCTGCCGCTGCTTCCTAAATGGCACTGCTCATGGCTTCTACACATGGCGCCCACCCGCGCCTCTGTCAGGGTGAGAGAGAGAGAGAGAGGCAGAGTGAGTAATAGGGAGCGAGAGTGTGTATGCGTTTCACTCTGTGTAAAGCATGATAAAGTCTATCGATAAAGCTCCACAAAGGGCGAAACTCTGTGGCAATGAAGGCCGCTGTGAGCCGAGAATCACGCTGCTGTGAGCCGGGAATCACGCTGCTGTGAGCCGGGTACAGACTCAACATACAGGCGAGCGTCTTGCTGTACACATAAAAAATATCTGAATTAAATTACACACTCGCTGCTCTTCATTTCTTATAGTTGCCAGAGATTTAGTAGCATTCTTCTTATTATTATTATTATTGTTGAGTGGTAGGAGCTTGGCTACCCGCAGGGTGTGTATGTGTGTTTTAGGTAGAAGTGGTGACGAGTGTATTTTATGGTTTGACGTGCTGTTGGGGTGTGAGCAAGGTAACATTTACATATGGTTTCAGAGGGAATTTGTTAGCCGGACTTGAGTCCTGGAGGTAGGAAGCATAGTTCCTGCACTCTGAAGGATGGGTGGGATGTTGCAGTCACGGAGGTCGGAAGTAGTACCTGCACTCTGAAGGATGGGTGGGGATGTTACAGTCCTGGAGGTGGGAAGTACAGTGCCTGCACTCTGGAAGATGGGTGGGGATGTAACAGTCCTGGAGGTAGGAAGTACAGTGCCTGCACTCTGGAAGATGGGTGGGAATGTAACAGTCCTGGAGGTAGGAAGTACAGTGCCTGCACTCTGCAGGATGGGTGGGAATGTAACAGTCCTGGAGGTAGGAAGTACAGTGCCTGCACTCTGCAGGATGGGTGGGAATGTAACAGTCCTGGAGGTGGGAAGTACAGTGCCTGCACTCTGCAGGATGGGTGGGAATGTAACAGTCCTGGAGGTAGGAAGTACAGTGCCTGCACTCTGCAGGATGGGTGGGAATGTAACAGTCCTGGAGGTAGGAAGTACAGTGCCTGCACTCTGCAGGATGGGTGGGAATGTAACAGTCCTGGAGGTAGGAAGTACAGTGCCTGCACTCTGCAGGGGGTGGGGAATGTTACAGTCCTGGAGGTAGGAAGTACAGTGCCTGCACTCTGCAGGATGGGTGGGAATGTAACAGTCCTGGAGGTAGGAAGTACAGTGCCTGCACTCTGCAGGATGGGTGGGAATGTAACAGTCCTGGAGGTAGGAAGTACAGTGCCTGCACTCTGCAGGATGGGTGGGGATGTTACAGTTCAATGTCGTGTGAATTGTGGTGTCTGCGCGAGTCTTTCAAGACAACTATTGAATGACTGATTGTGAGGGATTTGTGTGCCTGGGAAACTGTTTACCTTTGAGTTCCCTGGGGCAGTGTTTACGTTTGAGTTTCCAGGGCAGTGCTTATCTTTGAGTTCCCTAGGGCAATGTTTACCTTTGAGACAGTTGTTCCTGCGGTAGGGTACATAGTCAGCACCGCACCTGCAGTAGCCCTGGATGCAGGCAGAGTGAGCAACACGCATACTACACTGAGCATCCACCTCACAAGGGAACCCCAGCAACGATCCTGTAAGTGCAAACCCGCGTGGGTGGTGAGCAATGTTGCAGCGGTGATGAGGTGATAGTTGGGGAGGGGGTAGTGATGGTGGTAGTGGTAGTACTGATGGTGGTAGTGGTAGTATTGATGGTGGTAGTGGTAGTATTGATGGTGGTAGTGATAGTATTGATGGTGGTAGTGATAGTATTGATGGTGGTAGTGATAATGTAATAATGATGTTGGTGTAGTGGTGATAGTGATAGTAGTGATAATGATGGGTAGTGATGGTGGTAGTGATGATTATGGCAGTGATGGTGGTAGTGCTAGTGGGAGTATTAGTAATAATTATATTGGTGGTGATAATAGTGATGATAATAATACCAATTATTGCTGATAATGATGACTGATAGTGATACTTGCAATGCTGATAATGATGACTGATAGTGATACTTGCAATGCTGATAATGATGCTGATGTAGGATACTTGCAATGCTGATAATGATGATGATAGTGATACTTGCAATGCTGATAATGAGGGACTGTAGTGATACTTGCAATGCTGATAATGATGACTGATAGTGACACTTGCAATGCTGATAATGATGACTGATGGTGACACTTGCAATGCTGATAATGATGACTGATAGCGACACTTGCAATGCTGATAATGATGACTGATGGTGACACTTGCAATGCTGATAATGATGACTGGTAGTGATACTTGCAATGCTGATAATGATGACTGATAGCGACACTTGCAATGCTGATAATGATGACTGATGGTGACACTTGCAATGCTGATAATGATGACTGATAGCGACACTTGCAATGCTGATAATGATGACTGATGGTGACACTTGCAATGCTGATAATGATGACTGGTAGTGATACTTGCAATGCTGATAATGATGACACTTGCAATGCTGATAATGATGACTGGTAGTGACACTTGCAATGCTGATAATGATGACTGATAGCGACACTTGCAATGCTGATAATGATGACTGATGGTGACACTTGCAATGCTGATAATGATGACGGTAGTGATACTTGCAATGCTGATAATGATGACTGATAGCGACACTTGCAATGCTGATAATGATGACTGATGGTGACACTTGCAATGCTGATAATGATGACTGATAGCGACACTTGCAATGCTGATAATGATGACTGATGGTGACACTTGCAATGCTGATAATGATGACTGGTAGTGATACTTGCAATGCTGATAATGATGACACTTGCAATGCTGATAATGATGACTGGTAGTGATACTTGCAATGCTGATAATGATGACTGATAGCGACACTTGCAATGCTGATAATGATGACTGATGGTGACACTTGCAATGCTGATAATGATGACTGGTAGTGATACTTGCAATGCTGATATGATTGACTGATAGTGACACTTGCAATGCTGATAATGATGACTGATGGTGACACTTGCAATGCTGATAATGATGACTGGTAGTGATACTTGCAATGCTGATAATGATGACTGATAGTGACACTTGCAATGCTGATAATGATAACTGAGTGACACTTGCAATGCTGATAATGATGACTGATGGTGACACTTGCAATACTGATAATGATGACTGGTAGTGATACTTGCAATGCTGATAATGAAGACTGATAGTGACACTTGCAATGCTGATAATGATGACTGATGGTGATACTTGCAATGCTGATAATGATGGTGAAGGTGACCAAATCTTTTTATTTCATACAGGCAAATACAGTAACTTGCATAGTCATTCACATATACAACAGCAATATACACACAGGCATACATACATAAGAGTAATTAAAATATAAGGTTTAAAGCCTATCTACTACAACACGAGGAGCATATACATACACATATACATACATACACATATCGATATACATCGTATACATCTTCATTTTTACATACATGAGACAGAGATTATGAGTGACCTGGGAGACAGAGGGAGGCGTTGACAGCGAGGTAGTAAGAGATACACCCACATCTTCCCTTCTCACACACGCCATTGGTGACCCTGCAGTGCTTGTCCACCACACACGGCTCCCCCAGCACCGCCTCCTTCACCGTGACCTTCTCTGAGATCAGATTCTTCACGTTCTGCGCCACCACCAGTATTTTAGATGACCTGTGCGCTGATATGCCAACCTGTAAGGTCAATAATAATATTAATCGGTAATGTTAGGTTAATAATATTGGAAGTAATACAGCTCCTGGGAAATGGAAGGGTACTAGGTGTGATCGATGCACAAGTCTTAGAAGAAAAAGATGCGTCAAGATAAGATTTGTTGGGATTTTTAACCCGGGGGGTTAGCCACCCAGGGTAATCCAAGAGTCAGTACGTCATCGAGGACTGTGTCTTATTTCCATTTGGGGTCCTTTTCATCTTGTTCCCCCAGGTTGCGACCCACACCAGTTGACTAGCACCCAGGTACCTACTTACTGTTAGGTGAACAGTGACAGCAGGTGTTAGGAAACATGCCCACGAACACTGAGTATGCTAAGTGAGTGCGTTGCCAAGCGAGCCACGGTTGACCTCTGCCGCAGCAACAAGTCTGCGCTAACAACATTGTTCCAGCAGCTGTCTCTGCTGAAGCAACAAACAAGTCTGCGCTAACAACATTGTTCCAGCAGCTGTCTCTGCTGAAGCAACAAACAAGTCTTGGTTAACATTGTTCCAGCAGCTGTCTCTACTGAAGCAACACACAAGTCTGCGCTAACAACATTGTTCCAGCAGCTGTCTCTGCTGAAGCAACACACAAAGTCTGCGCTAACAACATTGTTCCAGCAGCTGTCTCTGCTGAAGCAACACACAAAGTCTGCGCTAACAACATTGTTCCAGCAGCTGTCTCTGCTGAAGCAACACACAAAGTCTGCGCTAACAACATTGTTCCAGCAGCTGTCTCTGCTGAAGCAACACACAAAGTCTGCGCTAACAACATTGTTCCAGCAGCTGTCTCTGCTGAAGCAACAAACAAGTCTTGGCTAACAACATTGTTCCAGCAGCTGTCTCTACTGAAGCAACAAACAAGTCTGCGCTAACAACATTGTTCCAGCAGCTGTCTCTGCTGAAGCAACACACAAGTCTTGGCTAACAACATTGTTCCAGCAGCTGTCTCTGCTGAAGCAACACACAAAGTCTGCGTAAAGAAAAAATCATTTGTAATCACTAGAAAAAATAGTTGAATCTTGAAGTGACTTTATGTAATGTTGTGTATGCAAGAATAACAAAGTCACTGACCATGAATTGTTTCACCTGTGTAAACAATGTTGTGTGTGTACTTACCTATTTGTGGTTACAGGGGTCGAGCAAGGCTTCTGGCCCTGCTGACAGATGGTCGCTACTAGGTCCACTCTCTTCCTGAGCTTTATCATACCTCTTCTTAAAGCTATGTGTGGATTCTGCCTCCACTACTTCACTCTCCAGAGTATTCCATTTCCTGACAACTCTGTGACTGAAGTACTTCCTAACATCCCTATGTGTGTGTGTGTGTGTGTGTGTGTGTGTGTGTGTGTGTGTGTGTGTGTGTGTGCGTACTTATTTATATTCACCTGTCTGTGGTCTCAGCTCCTGGTTCCACCTTTCAAACTGGATGTTACTAGGTTCTTACTCTCTCATGGCCTTGTGAGTTCCATTACATATATCTTTTCCTAAAGCTGTGTATAAATCCTGTCTCTACCACTCTGTTGCCCAGGTCGTTCCACTTTATGACCGCTCTGAGGCTGAAGAAATACTTCCTAACATCCCTTTAACTTCCAGCTGTGCCATCTTGTGTTTGTTCCCGCTTTTCGAAGAGCCTATTATTGTCCAGTCTATCAATTCCTCTTAATATTTTGTACGTCGTTATCATGTTTCCTCCGGCCTCTCTTATCTCTTTTGTTATCAGGTTCACTTCTTTAGTCTCTCCTCGCAGTGCATACCCCTAAGCTCTGGGATTGGTCTCGTTGCAAACATCTGCACTTTTTTCCGATTTTTGACTTGCTTGATGATGCATGCTACAAAGCGAACTTGATGTAACCTTTCAATTGCCGGTGCTAAATTCCACTAACTACTTGTCAGACCAATCATGTAGCTTGTCCAGTTTCATTAGTACCCTTCCCTTGTCTTCTCCTATTCTTATTCTCCTCATTAGTTTCACATCAACTGCGAGCAGAATACGTCAGACTGTGTCTCATCCGGCACGTCGTTCACGTACACCAGCAACAGTACAGGTGTGAGTACTAAACCTTGTGAAATTCCACCTGTCACACGCCAGTTCTGACGTGCTTTCACGAACAAGTACTTTGTTTCCTTCCTGTCAGAAATTGCTTGATCCCCTATAGCGCTTTTCCTGTCATTCCCTCCAGCTTCTCAAGGTTTTGTCAGGGTCTCTGGTGTGGAACTGTGCCAAATGCCTTCTTACAGTACAAAAATATGCACTAAACCCATCCTTCCATTGCCTCACTTACGTTACCTTCATCATAGACCTCTAAACAGGTTTGCGACATACGATTCACCATCTCTAAAACATGCTAGTTGTTGTTCGTGAACCCGCTCCTCTTCAGGTGCTCCATTACTGTTTGGGTTATCCTAACCTTGTATGTCTTACGTGTCAGTGACACTGGGCTGTAGTTCAATGCTGTCTGTCTGTCCCCCCGACACACACACATACATAGTGACCTGACGACACTGGAGGACAGAAGGGATAGGGAGGACATGATAACAACATATAAAATTCCGAGAGGAACTGACAAGGTGGACAGACAGGATGTTCCAGAGATGGGACACAGCTAACAAGGGGTCACCCTTGGAAACTGAAGACTCAGATGAGTCACAGGAATGTTAGAAAGTATTTCTTCAGTCATACAGTTGTCAGGAAGTGGAACAGTCTGGAAAGTGATGTAGTGGAGGCAGGAACCATACATAGCTTTAAGAAGAGGTATGACAGGCCTCATGGAGAAGGGAGAGAGTGGACCTAGTAGCGACTAATGAAGAGGCGGGGCCAGGAGCAATGACTCGACCCCTGCAACCACAATGGTTTAGTATAATTAGGTAAGAACACACACACTATATTTTCCTGCAAGCGTGTTGACTTAGCGGTGGTGCGTTTCTCAAGCAGGTAATCAGAAGTCTGGATGATGCTTAACTAAACACGGGACCACTACCGCCCAGTACACTCAAGAGGACGCCAGCACGCGCAAGAGGACGCCATTACACACAAGAGGATACCAGTACACCCAGGAGGACGCCAGTATTCCTCCTCAAGAGGTCATTAACACCTCTTGAGGAAACTTTCACCTGTATCTCAGTCTTCAGTGTGGGAGGGATACACAGTTACTCTTGGTCCTCGCGCCAGTTCTCTTCCTGTTTAGCTTATCTTCGTAATATTCCGCTTCAGAGAAGGCAGACTGCAGTTAACCAGGCATAATAGACGTTAACAAAAGCAGCAACAATAACATAAATTACAATGGGAAAAACAAGAAGGTAACTAGATTTGCTAAAACAGATGAAATTTGATTAATTTACATTAACTTAAATGGAAAACAACCACAGGAGTTGAATGATAGCTGTAGGCCTTTCGTGTTGCAATTAACAAATCAAGAGCTTCCAATGTTGCAAAATCATGTATATTTCAACTTCCAGATGTTATAATTTTTATATACAGTGGAACCTCAGTACTCGAACAGCTCCCTACTCGAACAATTCGGTATTCGAACGCTTACATTATTTATGTAAATAAGTCACCGTGGGGCCTAGGAAGATTAGTGATAACAGCCAACGAAAAAGAAAATTGGTTGGAAAAAATTCGTTCGGTACTAGAACAGATCGGCACTCGAACAGCCTCCTGGAACGAATTAAGTTCGAGTATTGAGGTTCCACTGTATATCCATTCCTCCTATTCTTTATCATGCTTGCCTATTCTAATTCAGTTTTCAATAGATATACCAAAATTATCATTTGTATTTGCGACTTAATTATTATTATAATCAAAAAGAAGCGCTAAGCCACAAGGACTATACAGCATTTGCGACTTAAGAAAATGAAAAATGTGAATAATGCATATTATCCTATTAGTCTAAATACTAGAATTTCGGCGACGTAACATATAGTGTATAATTGTGGATATTTTTTTTGAGTTTGTCTTCATTTATTCAGTACATAAGACAGCCTTTTTTAATTTTTCATACAAACAATTATAAAACGAATACGTCGATTTTTTTTTTTTAATTTTACTGTACGCTACTCTAGGAAATATATAGGCTAGAGCCTATATATATTACGGTGTGTGATACATGAAAATTGGTTTCTGCTGCTAATAGAGCGCATTTAAGGACATAAGAAAGAAGTTGCACTATAGAAGGCCTACTGGCCTATGCTAGGCAGGTTTAAGTCATCTAGTTGTGTGGGTGTCAAAGAAGGCAGGTGAGTCGTTTGTTTTATCAAGTGTGTAAATTATCTCACCGTAAGAGCGGCCAGCAGAACAATGTACACTGGAGAGGTCGCCGACGCTGCCCACATCATCACTTAACCTCTGTAAAGGAAAAAAAATGTAGTGGGTAAACAGATTGTGGTTGTACCTTGTGTTGCCTGCACACTGCCTCCTTCCACACACCTTGTGTTGCCTGCACACTGCCTCCTTCCACACACCTTGTGTTGCCTGCACACTGTCTCCTCCCACACACCTTGTGTTGCCTGCACACTGCCTCCTCCCACACCTTGTGTTGCCTGCACACTGCCTCCTTCCACACACCTTGTGTTGCCTGCACACTGCCTCCTCCACACACCTTGTGTTGCCTGCACACTGCCTCCTCCCACACACCTTGTGTTGCCTGCACACTGCCTCCTTCCACACACCTTGTGTTGCCTGCACACTGCCTCCTCCCACACACCTTGTGTTGCCTGCACACTGCCTCCTCCCACACCTTGTGTTGCCTGCACACTGCCTCCTACACACCTTGTGTTGCCTGCACACTGCCTCCTTCCACACACCTTGTGTTGCCTGCACACTGCCTCCTCCCACACACCTTGTGTTGCCTGCACACTGCCTCCTCCCACACACCTTGTGTTGCCTGCACACTGCCTCCTCCCACACACCTTGTGTTGCCTGCACACTGCCTCCTCCCACACACCTTGTGTTGCCTGCACACTGCCTCCTCCCACACACCTTGTGTTGCCTGCACACTGCCTCCTCCCACACACCTTGTGTTGCCTGCACACTGCCTCCTCCCACACACCTTGTGTTGCCTGCACACTGCCTCCTCCCACACACCTTGTGTTGCCTGCACACTGTCTCCTCCCACGCACCTTGTGTTGCCTGCACACTGCCTCCTCCCACACACCTTGTGTTGCCTGCACACTGCCTCCTCCCCACACACCTTGTGTTGCCTGCACACTGCCTCCTCCCACACACCTTGTGTTGCCTGCACACTGCCTCCTCCCACACACCTTGTGTTGCCTGCACACTGCCTCCCACACACCTTGTGTTGTCTGCACACTGCCTCCTCCCACACACCTTGTGTTGCTGCACACTGCCTCCCACACACCTTGTGTTGCCTGCACACTGCCTCCCACACACCTTGTGTTGCCTGCACACTGCCTCCTCCCACACACCTTGTGTTGCCTGCACACTGTCCTCCTCCACACACCTTGTGTTGCCTGCACACTGCCTCCTCCCACACACCTTGTGTTGCCTGCACACTGCCTCCTCCCACACACCTTGTGTTGCCTGCACACTGCCTCCTCCCACACACCTTGTGTTGCCTGCACACTGCCTCCTCCACACACCTTGTGTTGCCTGCACACTGCCTCCTCCCACACACCTTTGTGTTGCCTGCACACTGCCTCCTCCCACACACCTTGTGTTGCCTGCACACTGCCTCCTCCCACACACCTTGTGTTGCCTGCACACTGTCTCCTCCCACACACCTTGTGTTGCCTGCACACTGCCTCCTCCCACACACCTTGTGTTGCCTGCACACTGCTCCTCCTCCCACACCCTTGTGTTGCCTGCACACTGCCTCCTCCACACACCTTGTGTTGCCTGCACACTGCCTCCTCCCACACACCTTGTGTTGCCTGCACACTGCCTCCTCCCACACACCTTGTGTTGCCTGCACACTGCCTCCTCCACACCTTGTGTTCCTGCACACTGCCTCATCCACACACCTTGTGTTGCCTGCACCTGCCTCCTTCCCACACACCGTTGTTGTGACACTGTATCTCTCCCAACACCTTGTGTTGCTGCACATGTCTCCTACCACACACACTTGTGTTGCTGCAACACTGTCTCTCTCCCACAAACCTTGTGTTGGGCTGACACGCCTCTCCCACACACCTTGTGTTGCCCGCACACTGCCTTCCCACATACCTTGTGTTGCCTTGCACATGCCTCCTCCCACCACCTTGTGTTGCCTGCACACTGTCTCCTCCCACACACCTTGTGTTGACTGCATTACTGCCTCCTCCCAAAACACCTTGTGTTGCTGCAACTGCTCCTCCACACACCCATTGTGTTGCTGCACACTGCTCCTCACAACCCTTTTGTTGCCTGCACACTGCCTTCCTCCCACACACCTTGTGTTGCCTGCATACTGCTCTCCTCACAAAACCTTGTGTTGGCCTGCACACTGCCTCCTCACAAAAACCTTGTGTTCTGCATACTGCCTCCTCCACACACTTTGTGTTGCCTGATACTGCCTCTCCCACACTCCTTGTGTTGCCTGGCACACTGCCTCCTCCCACACACCTTGTGTTGCCTGCACACTGCCTCCTCCCACACACCTGTGTTGCCTGCACACTGCCTCCTTCCACACACCTTGTGTTGCCTGCACACTGCCTCCTCCCACACACCTTGTGTTGCCTGCACACTGCCTCCTTCCACACACCTTGTGTTGCCTGCACACTGCCTCCTTCCACACACCTTGTGTTGCCTGCACACTGCCTCCTACACACCTTGTGTTGCCTGCACACTGCCTCCTCTCACACACCTTGTGTTGCCTGCACACTGCCTCCTACACACCTTGTGTTGCCTGCACACTGCCTCCTCCCACGCACCTTGTGTTGCCTGCACACTGCCTCCTCCCACACACTTTGTGTTGCCTGCACACTGCCTCCTCCCACACACCTTGTGTTGCCTGCACACTGCCTCCTTCCACACACCTTGTGTTGCCTGCACACTGCCTACTCCCACACACCTTGTGTTGCCTGCACACTGCCTCCTCCCACACACCTTGTGTTGCCTGCACACTGCCTCCTCCCACACACCTTGTGTTGCCTGCACACTGCCTCCTTCCACACACCTTGTGTTGCCTGCACACTGCCTCCTACACACCTTGTGTCGCCTGCACACTGCCTCCTCTCACACACCTTGTTGCCTGCACACTGCCTCCCACACACCTTGTGTTGCCTGCGCACTGCTTCCTCCTCCCACACACATTGTGTTGTCTGTATATTACCATCCTCCCCTCGGACACACCTTGTATTGCCCGCACACTGCCCTCCCCCACACACCCTGTACTGCCTGCACACTGCCTCCCCTACACACCTTGTGTTGCCTGCACAACACTGCCTACCTCACATTCTGTACTGCCTGCACTGCTTCACGTGATAAAACTGTAAGCAATAAATCACACTATTTATAAAAGGGAAGCCTCCCTGGTTTCCAGCCTAGCCTACAGACGTTTCAGGCAGTCTGGAAGTTAGTTGGGAATTGTACATAGTATTATAATAAAAAAGAAGCGCTAAACCAGGAATTGTGCATAGATGGTATAAAATACCAACAAGATAAAGAATTAGACACGTGTGCAACATCTGGGTATCTCTGTCCCCTCAAGGAAGGTTCCTTGATGTTGGTGAGGGGCTCTTGATTTAGGGAATTGGATCTGTGCTCCAGTTCCCCGAATTAAGCCTGAATGCCTTCCACATCCCCCCCCCCAGGCGCTGTATAATCCTCCGGGTTTAGCGCTTCCCCCCTTGATTATAATAATAATAATAATAATGGGTATCTCTGTAAAACCAATGGTTGGCGAAACGTCTACAAATAGACATACCCAGATGTTGAATGTGTCTAATTTATCAACTTGTCGGTTCTCTGAACCACTTATCTTCAAAATAAATGTTATAAAGCACCCAGTGTTTTGAAAAAAAAAAAATAGTAAATAGGCTTCTTCTACCCGTCTACACTAAATATGGCCTCAGATAATAGGTCGAAATAGTCAGTTTGTCTTTCTGAATAATTTTGTAAATAGAGTTCATGTTTATTTCGTAGATTATGTATTGTATTCCATATCGTTAATGGTGTATTGAACATGGATACTGTGTGCGTTAACAATACCTTCCCTCTTTGGTTAACCTTGAGTTTGTTGTTTGGTGTCCCCGAAGGGATCTTTAAGTGATTGTCTGGTACGGCATCGGGGATACCTTTCCGGGGTCATTGAGGTGGAAGGGGCTGTGCCTACGGGATACAGGAATACCTTTCTGGGATGACTGACGTGGAAAGGGCTGTGCCTACGGGATACAGGGATACCTTCCTGGGATCACTGACGTGGAAAGAGCTGTTCCTATGAGATACAGGGATACCTTCCTGGGATCATGCAATGCCATAAACACGTTGTTCGTACGTATCCTAGGAGAATAGAGGCAATCAAATTTAATTCAAGAAAGGGGATGGCAGCTCTGGTTCCTTGGATCAAGCGACCTTCAACAAACCATCATCCCCTCCTCAAAGAGTGTTCCGAAAAAAATGTGGATATACGCACTGTAAATATTTTTTTTTTTAAATCACACATATTGGGCAATGTTACCATCACTGAGATATGTTAGTTACTAACGGTAAAGTGCTAGTTACTAACGGTAAAGTACTAGTTACTAACGGTAAAGTGCAAGTTACTAACGGTAAAGTGCTAGTTACTAACGGTAAAAAGTGCTAGTTACTAACAGTAAAGTGATAGTTACTAACGGTTTATAAAAAGTGCTAGTTACTAACGGTAAAAGTGCTAGTTACTAACGGTAAAAAGTGCTAGTTACTAACGGTAAAAAGTGCTAGTTACTAACGGTAAAAAGTGCTAGTTAACTACTAACGGTAAAGTGTTAGTTACTAACGGTAAAAAGTGCTAGTTACTAACGGTAAAAAGTGCTAGTTAACTATTAACGGTAAAGTGTTAGTTACTAACGGTAAAAAGTGCTAGTTACTAAAGGTAAAAAGTGCTAGTTAACTATTAACGGTAAAGTGTTAGTTACTAACGGTAAAAGGTGTTCTTGCCAGCTAGAAAATGAGAGCTGCAATAGATGCTTTTTTTTTTTTTCTAAACTTCTGATATCCAGATGTTCCCCATTACTTTCTGGCAGTGAGGCGTATTATGATTTAGAGAGGATGTAGGGAAGTACTGGTGTGGCAATATTAAGATTTAGAGAGGATGTAGGGAAGTATTGGTGTGGCAATATTTAGATTTAGAGAGGATGTAGGGAAGTACTGGTGTGGCAATATTTAGATTTAGAGAGGATGTAGGGAAGTACTGGTGTGGCAATATTAAG